AAAAGGTATTTTTAGTATAATTTTTGTTTTTGTATCTATAACAAGTAATTAAAAAATAGTTAACTGAATGACACCAAATCATGTGTGTATATAATATATATATAAATGTCTGTTAGGACAAGCAATGAAAATACTATGCTCTACGAGTGAACAAAGCACACAATCTTACCCTAAAGTATATTTAAAAATAAATCTGATATAGATAGAAATGTATAGACTTTTGAAAGAATAATAATAAAATCTTAAATAAATATAACGATAACTTATAGATAAATGTAGACACGTATAGAATACGTCATTCAATAGAATTAATGTATTTTCAGTAGATGTTTTTGGCMATTTTGAATTTTACAGGAAGCTATTAAAAGTGAATCATTTTACGATGGTCGTTGTGCCTATTTGGAAAAAGGATSCATAGATCTGGGTTTCAAAGAATCAAATCATAGTATAAATGGCACCATACGTATTGGTGGACAAGATCATTTTTATTTAGAAACTCAATGTTGTATAGCAATACCGATGAATGAACATAATGAGATCGAAATTATAAGTTCAACACAATCACCAAACGAATTGCAGGTATAATTTATACAAGCACCATACATGATCCATTATTATTATTTATATCTCCTTTGTTTTAAAAATGTAGTTAGTTTTTAATAAAAATCATGAGTTTGAACTTCTATATAAATTTAGATTGATTTCTATTTTAAGTAATGATTAAATGCTTATAGAAATATTAACTAAGGTCTATAAACTCAAATATGTTATAAAAATATAAGATTTAAGATTTCTATCTCATATTTCTATACGSAATTCTGTAATTGAATATTTTTAATATACAACAATTTATTTGAATTACATAWAGGTACCCTAAAATTTAAAGTAAGCAATAATTATTAATAAATAATGCTTTAATTGCGTATTTTTGTTTTGTTAAACTGTTTTTGTATACATTTTATCTTTTTCTTCTTCTTCTTCTTCTTTAGTTTCGGCCCTTAAGACCATTCTGAAAACGCTAAACTTTGCCACCTATCCCTGTCCTCCGCTACTTCTCTCTATTTGACACCAGGCTCTATCCTTTCCACTTATCTCTTCACTCCGTCTTCCCATCTCAACTTAGGTCTACCTAGTGGTCTTTTCCCTTAGGCTTTTCTTGGATCACCCGTTTTACTAAARTACCCTGTTTGCGCCAAGCATGTCCTTTCCAACATAGATTTCGCTTGGCAATCTCTCTAACTATATTCGGCCTCTGAAAAAGTCCTCGGAGTTTCACGTTATGAAGTAAACATTTTATATACCTGTATAATAATAATAATAATAATAATAATAATAATAATAATAATAATAATAAAATAAACCAATAATTATAAAATATAACATAAAGACCTACAATAAGCCATACAAATATACAATGTGTTTAATATACCTAATCAACTTATTCTCTTCCAATCTTATGCATTATTCAATATATATTTATATCTACAACCTTTATAAACTAACTTTAAAATACAAAATACAATCAAATCGGAAAAGAATTTTATGAACATATATCTAATAAAATTTAAAAATATGTACCATCGTATATGTTTATGCTGAAACTTTAACTTATAAAAGATTAACAAATATTATCATTTCGGTGGATAATTTTAGTAAGAGTACCTATTTGTATTATTTTTTAAATAAAAATATTTTATAACCACCTAATATTTATTATATTATTCTCTAAAATAATTGTTATAAACATTTTGTTTGATTAGGAATGTATATCACATTGCTTAGACATACCAACAAACCGTGTAGTTTGCAAAACAAAACGTCTTGGTGGTGGTTTTGGTGGTAAAGAAACTAAAGGATTTACTATAGGCGTGCCATGTGCAGTAGCTGCTGTGAAGTAAGACTGCAGGGATGAAAGGTTTGGTATTAGAAAAAATTTATATTTTTTTTTAGAACCGGTAAATCAGTTAGATGCATGTTGGATCGACATGAAGACATGTTAATTACTGGTGGTAGGAATCCATTTTTATGTCATTACCGTGTAGGATTTAACGAACATGGACAAATCCAGGCTTTGGACCTTTCTGTATACAATAACGGCGGTAGTTCCAGAGATTTGTCCGCGGGAGTGAGTACCTACATCTTTTTAGTAATTTAAATCGAGCATATTTAATTCTTATTAAAAATGTATTTTATTATATTGCAGTGGTTCCCAAACTATGTACCGCGAGTGCTTTCTAAGGGCACCGCGGTCTACGGCTCATAATAAATAATTTATAATCATTATAATATTCTAATATTGATTTTTCTGTTTTATAGACAGTTCAAAGATGCATATCTCATATAACGAATACGTATCATATCCCTCATGTGAGAGTATCAGGATATACTTGTGCTACAAATTTATCATCAAATACGGCTTTTAGAGGATTTGGTGCACCTCAAGGAATGTTTTTTGCGGAATCAATTATCGATCACATATCTAGAGAGTTGAACATCGATTCAAACGAAGTCAGAGTAAAGAATTTCTTCGTTAACGGACAGATAACACTTTATAATCAATTGATATCTAATTTTACCGTTAAAAGTTGTTGGGAYGAAGTCATGGAAAGATCAAATTACACTTTAAAGTCTAAAAAAATCGTAGAGTTCAACAGGTATACCCTATAGATATATACAATACCGTATAAGTATTATGCATATTAGGTTTAACTGTTACTTAGAGCCTTGTATTAAATACATTTTTATTGATACTAATTTAAATTAAAACTAATAAATAATAATAATCGAAAATTTCATAAGACTTTCATTGATAGTCAACTTAAGTCGACATTTTTTGAAAATTGCATAGTGGACARAATATACTTATATAAACATTCGGYGAAATTTTCTATGGTCATTTGTTTTAAAGTTACATCAAAAACCAAAATCAATTTTGTCRAAAACTGATTGTGCGTAAAAATTCCCGTTTTTTCCTTAATTTTTAGTTTGTTTATCCCAATTATTAAGAAAAATATTGGGAATTTTTTACTTTTG